TCTTCTCCTTCTCCTTCTTCTTCTTCTTCTCTTCTTCTTTTTCTCCTTCTCCTTCTTCTTCTTCTTCTCCTTCTTCTTTTTATTAAGAAACTCTACCCCAACATGGGGCTCGAACTCACAACCCTGAGATCAAGAGTCACATGCTCTACCAACTGAGCCAGCCAAATGCCCCCTTGCTTGTTTTCTTCTTATTGATTTGTATCCCCCTCCATTTTCTCCACCTGGCAGAAATGGAAAGCATAACCTGCTAATAACCGGGAGGATTTATGTTCAGCTCTGTACGTAAGCGTATCTCCAACCCATTTCTACAGGTGAGAAGGAGCCTCCGGCTGGTCAGAGATGGCTTCTTCGAGGAAACCCACCTTGCAATTTCTCCAGCTCAGATCAAGTCACACGTTCTAACCTGTTTGCCTATAACTAGGATTTGAAGGAAGTTTTCCCACTTCTGGGAAACTAGAAGGAGGAGCAAGGCACTGTGATTAATCACAAGATAAGGTTGAAATTAAACTCTTTCATTTCACAAGTGTTCCTAAACTGCTTACAGGTTAGTATTTTAAAGGAAGCAGACAGCCGTTCCAGACTCACAAGGAAGGGAGGGCTGGCAAGTCTACTCTCATCTCTCAAGCTTTCCTCTTCACCTGGGCACTTAGAGAGGGGCCTAGCAGAGCCTCTGAAGACAGCCAGCCCTTAGGAGCAGCTCCATCAGGGGGAGTGAGCCCCAAGGAGGAGCTCAAACTTCAAAGGGAGCACCCAGGCCCTCCCCGAAAGGGTGAGGCTGCCAGTCCTCCCAGGGGACACCCCCAACAGCCTGGCCCAAGTGGAGGAAGTGGGCTGGGAGGCTGGCGTGGGGTGAGGGGAGGGAAACTGAGCAGAGGCCTGGGAGGGGACGGGTATGGGGTAAGCCAGAGTCTTCTAAAGAAGCCCAGAGGGTTCTTGGCATCCAGGGCTGGAAGGTGGCCAAGTTCTCATAAAAAAAGAGAAAGTGAGAGAGAAAAGAAAACAAAAAACTTCGTCTGAGCATGACTCTTGGCAGTGGTGCCTTTGCCAGGGCCTCTGCAGCAGCTCTGAGAGAGCCCGCCAGACAGGGACAGACAGACAGCCCAGTGGAGCAGAAGAGCAGCCAGAAGCCAGCCCCGCATCAGACTGGGGGATTAGAATGTTCTGGGGGTGGGGGGCGCTGCACCCACTCTTCAGTAAATGGCTTGGAGACCATTGGCCATCCATATGGAAAAGATAAAGTGGATCCCTATCTTACAGCAGGCCTCCAAATAAGTTCCAGATGAACAAAGACCTACAGGGTGTTTTGTTCAAGGCAAGTTATGCTCAGAGACTAAGTTTGTCTTTGCCAATAATTTATTTAACACAGGTTGACTGTAAGAATTATAATTTATAGTAATAATATTTCACAAGCCAAGAGCATGCAGGATAATAATACACCAATAAAGAACTAACATATTCCAAACCAATGATAGATTAATTACATTACTGTTCCAGGCAAAGGGGAGATGAAAGAAATAATGTTCAATATTAGTTGAGGTGTACCTTTCTATGAGTTGGTTCTCGGTAGTGTCAGTCCTTCCGACTAAAAGCTGGGCATCAGCTGCCTGCTCAGGTCCCTCTCTGCTGGGGCACATAGCTAGCAGGAGATGGTGCCAGTGTTGGCAGGCAAGGTAGCTGCTCTGAAGATTATTCCTGCAGGGATGGCTAGACAGCTTGCACCACCACTACCTAGGAGGAGTTGCCTCACTAAGGCAGAAGCAGATGTCCCTTCTCTTCCTGAGACTGCTGTGTGGTTTAACACCACGGCCGACCAAGGTAGCCTGGCCACAGCAGGAGTGTCTCAAGATCTCCAGAGAACTATTTAGGTCAGCAAAGAGTAGGCTTGTCCAGACCAAACACTTTTGAGTTGCTGGTCACACCTCTTGGTTTTTAAAGTTTAAAAAAGTCCACCATGTGATGGACACCATGGCTGGCTGTTACTATGGTGTCAATGATGTAATGGTCCTCTCCGCTCCAAGTGCTAAGAGTTCGATAAGAAAGTTCTAATACCCAACTTCAAAACAATTTCATGAGAACAAGTTCAAATCACAAACAACTTTGTCCAAAACAAGTTTTCAAAACGTGGATTTGAAATCGTAACAAGTCAGTACACAACACAGGGAAGAAGCAAAACTACTATGGGGGATTTGGAAGGAAACATAGAAGGACAGATTTATGATACTGGGAAAGGGGATGATTCTTTAACAAGGTATAAAACATACAAAACAGAAAAGAAAAGTAGGATAACTGTCTACATTAAAATCTTCACTATCCCAAAAGACACCAGATGCAAAATATAAAGACAAGCCATAAGGGTGCCTGGGTGGCTCAATCGGTTAAGTGTCTGCCTTTGGCTTGGGTCATGATCCTGGGGTCCTGGGATCGAGCCCTGCATCAGACTCCTTGCTCGGCAGGGAGCGTGCTTCTCTCTCTCCCTCTACCTGCTGCTTCCCCTGCTTGTGCTCTCTCTCTCTCTCTCTCGCTATCTTTCTCTCTCTCTGTGTCAAATAAATAAAATCTTTAAAAAACAAAGACAAGCCATAGACCAAGTGACAATATTTGTGACCCATACAACTAAGAAGAAATTCGTAGAATATCTTATGTCTAAAAAAAAAATAGCCCAATAGAAAAATGGGCAAAGGATATGAACAGGCAATTCTGAAAGGTCTAACAACCACAACAAATCAAGTCAACCTCCCTTGTGATCAGACTGTGTGGAAACTGCAATCATGAGATCCCATTGGGCATCCATGGGATGGACAAAAATTAAGATCTGATAACCCAGGTGTGGATGCGGGTATAAGGAAATGGAAACTCCTTTGCTGGTAAGAGTGTAAATTGGTACATCAATCTAGGAAAAAATATGTGAAAACTTGTAAAGTTTGTAAGCTTTCTAAAGAAGATGCACATGCCAGTGGTAGAGAACTTGGTAGTGGTAGTGACCAATCCTGTATTCATTCTATGTAATAAGGGATAAGTAGAAATAATCTAATCACCCCCATGTAGGAATAGAATAAACTATTTTATTCATCCAGTGAAATACTACAAAGCAGTTAAAAACAATGAAATAAATCTACATGTATCAACATTGCCAAATCTAATGTAGGGTGAAAAAAGCAGGTTACAAAAGGCTAGTATACTCTGATACCATTTACATAAAAATTCAAAACAGAAAAAAACATATAATAAAAATACAAAATCATGCTTGTATGTTTAAAACTTTCTGTAATTTAAAGTAAAACAGAGGGGCACCTGGGTGGCTCAGTGGGTTAAGCCACAAGTCACGTTCTTGATTTCAGCTCAGGCCTTGATCTCAGGGTCGTGGGATGGAGCCCCTTTTTGGGCTCCACACTCATTGGGAAGTCTGCTTGAGATTCTCTCTCTCCCTCTGCCCCTCCCCGCCCCCCTCTCTTTCTCTCAAATAAATAATCTTTGAAAGAATTTTTTTTTCTTTAAAAGAATTTAAAAAAATAAAACAGAAACCACAATGAGATACCACTTCACACTCAATAAGATGGCTATTATAAAACAAAACAAAACAAAAAATAGAAAGTAACAAATGTTGGTGAGGATGTGGAGAAATTGGAACCTTTGCACATTGCCGGTAGGAATAAAATAGTGCTGCCACTCTATAAAATGGTACAGCAATTCCTCAAAAAATTAAACACAGAATTACCATATGATCCAGAAATTCTGCTTCTGGGTGTCTACCCAGGATAATGAATACCTGAAAGCAGGTACTCAAACTTATTTGTACAACCTTGTTCATGGCAGAATTATTCACAATAGCCAATATGTGGAAGCATTCCTACAGAGGAATGGATAAACACAAAATGTGGCATATACATGCAATGGAATATTATACATCCTTTAAAAAGAATGAAATTCTGACACATGCTACAACATGAAGTCACCCTGAGGACATTATGCTAAGTGAAATAAGCTAGACACAAAAGGACAAATACATATAATTCCACTTACATAAGATGCCTGGTCAATGAGGTGCCTGGGTGGCTCAGTGGTTAAGCATCTGCCTTTGGCTCAGGTCATGATCCCAGGGTCCTGGGATCGAGCCCTGCATCGGCCTCTCTGCTCAGCGGGAAGCCTCCTTCTCCCTCTCCTACTCCCCCTGCTTGTGTTCCCTCCCTCGCTCTCTCTGTCAAATAAATGGGCAAAGTCTTTAAAAAAAAAATGCCTGGTCAAAATTGTAGAGACAGAAAGCAGGCTGTTGATGGGGATGAGGATGGAGAGTTACTATTTAATGGTACAGGGTTTCATTTTGGGAAGGTGACAAAGTTCTGGGGGATGAATGACAATGATGGTGGCAGAACAGTGTGAACGTACATTATGCCACAGAACTGTACAATTAAAAATGATTAAAATGGTAAATTTTATGTTAGGTAGATTTAACTTAAAAATAGAAATTTAAAAAAAGATTGGCTTGAACCCAGCCCCTCTGTCCAAAAGAGCCACCAACCGGCTTACCTACCCGCAACGCCCAGCTGTCCGGGCCCACCTGGACCGCCCCTCCCCGCTCCGACACCCGGGTCTCTACTCCCCGCCTTCCCAACAAGCCTCACGGCGCAGGCGCGGAGCTGGGGGGGGGGGTTGAGCAGAAGGGGGCGTGGCCTCACACTGCGCTTGTGCCGAATTCCAGCTGTAAGTGTTGTGGGGGAAATGATGTCCCGGTTGGGCTCCTCGGCCCGGCGGCAGCCGGGAGACCCGCACTGCACAGGCGCAGACCGAGCACTCGCGTCAAAAGACGAAGAGAGCGCGCGCTCCCCACGTCCTGCGAGCCGGGCTGCCAGGCATTCGTCTCCGCCGTGACTCCCGCGGGGCAGGGCTGAAGAGCGATGCCCCGGGAGATCATCACCCTGCAGCTGGGCCAATGCGGCAACCAGAGTGAGTGAGCGAGCGAGCGCCGGGCCCCTCCAGTCTCCGGTTCTGCCTCTTCGGGTCCCACCCAGTGCTTGGCATCCTCCAGTCCCCCTTTCCCTTCCATGAATCCCCTGCCCTATTGCGCATGATGAACACGTCCCAGATGGAGAGCCGCACCTGGGCTGTGACAGCTCCCAGATCAGGTGTCTTGGGTGCAGCCTCTGAGTGTGACAGCTTCTGAGCCTAACCCTGGGCTCCTGAGGCCTTGTGACTAGCAGACCCAGGCATCTCTCCCTATCCCCCAGTTGGGTTCGAGTTCTGGAAACAGCTGTGCGCCGAGCATGGTATCAGCCCCGAGGGCATCGTGGAGGAGTTCGCCACCGAGGGCACTGACCGCAAGGACGTCTTTTTCTACCAGGTGCCCCCAGCGACTTGGCCAGGGGGTCTGAGGGAAGGGCAGAGGCCTGGTACCGGGAAACCCGCTGGGCAGAAGAGCCAGGGCGGCTGGCTTGAGGAGGGGGGGCAGACAGGAGCCAGAGCTGGGAGGATGGAGGACTGGGCCTTAGCTGATTGGGCCCCCTTGCTGGATGCCCCTTGACAGGCAGACGATGAGCACTACATCCCCAGGGCGGTGCTGCTGGACCTGGAGCCCCGGGTGATCCACTCCATCCTCAACTCCCCCTATGCCAAGCTCTACAACCCAGAGAACATCTACCTGTCGGAGCATGGCGGAGGGGCTGGCAACAACTGGGCCAGTGGATTCTCGCAGGTATCTGGGTGGCCATCCCAGAAACCCCTGATGTTCCCTCCCCAGGGCAAGGCAGGCTCAGGCAGCCTGGGGATTTGACTAGACCAGACTGACAATAAATAAGAGACGAAGGGATACCCTGACAAGAGGGACAGCCAGGGAGAGGTTTATGCAGACTGCAAATCATTTGCAAAATAGCTTTTTTGGGTTGAGGGTCACGGCCGAGGCTCTGCTTGTCCCAGGGTTGAGTTCTTGGTGCTGAAAAGAGATACTCCTCAGAACCTTCATCCTGACCCTCCCTCCCATGTCTCTCTCTACAGGGCGAGAAAATCCACGAAGACATTTTTGACATCATAGACCGAGAAGCAGATGGAAGTGACAGCTTAGAGGTGAGGCTCTGCCCCGCTGAAGGGAAAACAAGGCTGAAAAGTGCTGGGGAAAGGTCAGGACGTACCTGAACAGGTGGTGTGATGGGGCAATTCTATTCAAAACTAATTTTTTGAGTATCCTATGTGAGATATCAAAGTAAATAAGGTACAGTACTTGTCCTCAAGGAGATCCTAATCTGGATGGCATCAGCTCCTTAGGCATGAGTCTTCCTTCCCAAGCAGTGTCAGCCTGGATGGACACAGAAGAAGCCTTGAGACATGAGTGTGTTGGGAGTGGGGAATGAGACAAGCCTGAAGCCTCTCCCCCACATCCCTGGAGACTGCCTCTCCATCCCTCCCCATGCAGGGCTTCGTGCTGTGTCATTCCATCGCTGGGGGGACAGGTTCTGGCCTGGGCTCCTACCTTCTCGAACGACTGAATGACAGGTAAGCCTATGTTTGGGGAGAGGGCATTAGCCCTGGTTCCCTGGGTAAGGTTTTTCCTTTTTATCCCTTTTTTTCTCTTGGACTGGAAGGCCTGGCACTGTGGCTTTGAGTCATTGGTAGGAACAGAGCCTGGCCATCCAGGGAACATCTTGGAAGCAAGAACACCCAAGAGTGGGTTTGCCTAGGGAGAGGAGGGACCTTAAGGGTTTGATGGGTTTGATGCTTTAGGTTTATTCCTTTTTGACTCTGGGCTCTGAGCACTCAGTTCTGCCCTGGCCCCCCCTTTTGTACCAAGAGCTTGGTGACGCTTGGAAAGGAATGGCCCTGTTAGCTCTAGAGAAGACCAAGATAGGCAGTGATGGGAGTCCTTCCAATTCACTGTGTCACGTTCCCTTTTCCCTCTTCTTCACCCCCAGGTACCCCAAGAAGCTGGTGCAGACGTACTCAGTGTTTCCCAACCAGGACGAGATGAGCGATGTGGTGGTCCAGCCCTATAACTCCCTGCTCACGCTCAAGAGGCTGACCCAGAACGCAGACTGTGTGGTGAGCACCGGAGAAGGGAGTAGGGGGCTTTGATCTACCTCCTCAAACCAGTGAGACATGGACACCTGACCTTCACAAGCCCCTGCCCAGAGAACAGAGGACCAACAAAGCCATACCCGGTGGCCCAAATTATGAACTAAGGACTTGACTCCAAGTTGCTTATAGTCCCTTTAGGCAGTAAGGCTCTCAAGAAAGTGTATACCCCCTGACATATGTCCCCAGTTAGCCTATTTAATGCCTATTCATGCTTAAATTCTCAGCCCAAGGGTCACTTTCTTAGTCAAATCTTCCCTGACCGCCCATTCAAGGTCAAATTCCTTTGTACGTATTTCAGGCTGTAACTATACTTTTCTGTGAGAGGCACAGACCGTGCCTGTTTTATCCGCCATGTATCTCCAGAGCCAGGCACAGTGAATGGCACATGGGGACAATCCCATTTGTTTACTGGGGGGTAGAAAAGTGTCTTGTGATGCCCCTGAGACAGTGCCCCTTTTTAAAGCTAACACACCTACGTCCTGGCTTTGGAGTTTAGAGGGGGCTAAGCTAATAACTTATCTCTCTGCCCGCTTTCTCCTCAAAAAGGTGCCGTG